TTAATAAAGATAATTGCTATTTTTTCAATTAACATACATGCTGAATGGTATATAAAACTAGGAAACTAGCCAAAAGTCAGTTTTTTATATTATAAAATTTTTACCGCCAAGGCGACACCTAGGCGCCCCAGTGTCGCCTAGACGCCTTGAAAACTATGGGGTCTCCCATTCAATCTCTGGTCTGAGGAGGTATTTAGCAGGATGTCAGAGTTGTGTGGAGGAGTAATGATAGCCTTCGACACTTCCAATCTTCAAGCAGCTAGACTGATTATTAATTCTGTACTTATTTCATATTTTCCTGATTAACCAATTGAATCATTGCTGACTGCATATTCTTTAATTCTTCTATATTTAGTGCTGATTGCATATTCTATAATTCTTTTATATTTAATGCTGATTTCTTAATTTTTATATTGAATCATTGCTGATTTCATACTTTATCAGTTTATCTCTAATTTTTATTTCTGTAGATTCAAGACTGATCATTGATGATTGAATATTTTCCGGATTCATTAACTTACGATTGCTGATAAGCTGATTACATTACCTCTAATGAGTAATGTCTAATAATCTAAGTATCTAACCAATTGAGCTAATAATTAAGTAATTAACTTTTTTTTTTTGAAATTTTCCTGATTTCTTAGAATTTCTAGTTTTCTACATGTTTTCTATTTTTTCCTTTTTTTGTAGTTTTTTTTTATTTTGTGCGCCTTTTTAAAAGGCTTGTGCCTCGCCTTGCGCCTCAGGCACATTTGGAACCTGTTGCTTTTTGTGCGCCTTTCGCTTTTAAAACACTGGAGTTACCTTCACTTTTTTATTTCTTGTTCTTTCATTACTTCTATTTGGTATTGGTGCTTTTCTATGTTTGGGTGTAGGAGGAATCCTCCTGTGGATGTGCAAAGGTTGTTTGCTACAACCACCTTTGGTTGGCCAAAGAAGAGAGGGAGGTTGATGTGGAGATATATAAGGGATTCTATTCTTTGGACAGTTTGAGAGGAGACAAACACAAGGATATTCCCAGCAAAAGAAAAAAGCAAAGAAGTCATTGAAACAATAAAGGTAAGAGTAGTGTATTGGCTGAAATCTTTGGAAGGTTTCTCTTGTGTTTCGACAACTGATCTACCAAGGAATTGGAAGGAAGTGGCAGACTCTTCTGTTCATAAGACAGTTGTCAATCATCAATGGTCTCCACCAGATAGAGGGTTTGTTAAGCTTAATTTTTTATGGTAGTAGCCTGGGAGGTCTATTTAGAGATGAGGAGGGTAAAATCATTGTTTTGTATTCCAGGCCAGTTGGGGAGGGAAATCCATTGAGAGCAAAGCTGCTGGCTGTGGTAGAAGGCATAGTAAAGGCAGGGATGATGGGCATTAATAAATTATTTGTAGAGGGAGACTCAAAGCTGGTAATCAATTGGTCACAACAAGAGAGGGTGAAAATGTGGCTCTATTTTTGGCACAATTGTAAGGGAGTAGGGATTTGTTGGGCACAGTCTTTGTTCTGTACCTCTATGTACTGTACATACTACTTATTGCCTTAATTAATGAAATCTTTGAGTAACTGATCAAAAAATATAAAAATTCAAAATTCTAGACAAAAACAACCAATTAATTGAACTAGCAGACCAAAAGAGGGGTGCTAGACCAACGCCAAACCCATTAAATTCAAGGAGACCTTTTCTTGCAGTTAAACAGCAATATCTGGGATAATTTCGTACACTGCAATCAGGTAAAAGAGCTTCTCATGAATTTTGAATTGTACTTAAAGAATCTTAAATAGCTCTATGTAAAAAATAACCATGGTAATATGTTACTGCAACTATGCTGCATGGACTACTTTAAATGGATCAAGTACCTGAATCATGCATCAGCAAGATTCCATATTCCATGTAATGTTTTAAAAGTGCAAGGTGCAAAAAAGCGCAAGGGGCTTTTTGTGCACAAGCCACAAGGTGCAACTATGCTGCATGGACTACTTTAAATGGATCAAGTACCTGAATCAAGCATCAGCAAAATTCCATATTCCATGTAATGTTTTAAAAGTTCAAGGTGCAAAAAAGCGCAAGGGGCTTTTTGTGCAMAAGCCACAAGGCAAGGCACATGTCTTTTTGAAGCAAGGCACAAAATTTTTAAATTTTTCAAAAAAAAATGCAAAGAAAAACAAAAAAAAAATGAAGAAAAATATTCAACCTAATATCATAATTTTAAGGCAACGCCTAGGCAACAAGGCCCTTTTGGAGGGCCGCCTCGCCCAAACACCTAAATATTTATATGCAAGACACAGCATAATGTTTTTATATTTTTTTATATTACTAATAGTAGTACAATAAATATCATTAGACTAAATTATCCAAATTGTAGGTTTATGGTACTAATATTATTATTCTTATACTTTTTCCAAAAAAACTATTACTATTCTTATACTAGTTTCTTTTTTATTATTTTCATCTTTGGATTGAACCAACACACAAGTTTGTGACATACAGGCGACATAGGGGCCATTTGATAATGACCCCATAAAGAAGCTGGGTCCTTTGCAGGTCGGCCAAAGTGGACTAGGAAGGAGTGAAAGGTTTGGTAGGACTAATAACAAGCAGGTTCGGGATAGAAACGTGCTCACCAGGAATCGAGGCGAGAGGCCCTGAATCCCTGCGAACTTGAGAGGTCATCTCTACGAACTCCTTATATGCTTGTTCATCTCTCTCCGTCTCGGCAAAGTCCTCTGCCGTGGAACTCGACATGTAAACGAATGGAAAAAAAACTCGGGAAGAGGAGACTAACCCATGACAAGATAGAAACGAAGACAAGCGAACTGGAATGGGAAGAAAACCAAGCTTCAGAGGGCAAGCTCTCTGACCTCAATGGGACCACTCCAACGATGAATGTACAAATGGTCCCCCCCTTGGGGCCTCTATTTATAGCCAAAAGGGGTGGACGTTGAACGGCTGCGATCGAACAGGCTCAATGGCCCAGATTCGTGACCGTTGGGCTTCTTGAGGTCCCAAATCAGTTTAGCATGTTTTGGATGTCCAAAAATAGTTAACCGACACTATTTCAAGTCCGTGCATGCCAGCTGGAACGCACAAAGCTAGTGCCTAATTCCCTGGAGCAGCTCGGGCGTGTCCTGGCAGGCTACCTTACGTGTCAATGGTCTTGTTGCATGTACCACCAAGTGGTTGCTTGATGGACAAGTGTTGGAATGTGGAGCTCTCCTAGAAGGGAAGCTCATCTCACTAATAAGGAGCAGCTCTCCTGGAGGGGAGTTCGTCTCAACAGGAAGGCCTCCTCACGGAGGTTGGAATTGCTTGTACATACGAGTTGAGTTAAGAAGCCCATGGTGGTTTTACATGTCGCCAAGGTGACTCTTATC